TGTCATTTCAGGGGCAACCCACCATTTGAGATATGAATACGCACCGGCTTGAGAGAAGAAGGCCATGTCCTTAAATTATTGGGCCACGAAAATGCTTGAAGGTTTTCATTGTGAAGTGTCCCTTTTGCCAACCAAAACAGTGTCTTTTTTATTTTTGGTATGGTCCGATGATGTTTGTCTCTCTCCTCATGTTTTGTGTTGGCTGCCGGGCCTTCTACTTGCTTGCAACACCCTTTCCATCAAAGAACATGGAACTTGAACGGAGGGTCCTAGAAGACAATTTTCCTCTAAAGGCAACCCTCCATGTTAGTGGGTGTTGCTATTGGTATACCCCTGGAACCACCGACTAATGTTGGTTGCAGACTGCACCCTTAACCCCAATCTGGTTCTTTACGCCCTGATAGTATGCTTTCAAGTTTCTTGCGCGAGACTCATTTCCTGAGTTCTGTTTCGGACTTTAAAGCTATTGGTCAGACCATGTCTGTTTAATTCCAACATTTGATTACTTTTGCTTCGGGTTTGGGCCATTCTAGTGGTAAACCAAAAGTTCCGAACAACCTTGTCTTGGGCGAAGCCACCCCATCGGAAGAGTGAGACAATGAAATTGAGGCTAACCAGTGTCCAGTGTTGCTTGGTTTTACAGGGAAACCAAAATCATAAAACCGGATCCACTTTTGGCGGGGGGGGGTCCCCTACAAAAAAAAACAAAGCAACAAGAACAACACACCCTTACACAATTCATTCGCTCCGTTTCCAGTCCCGTTTTGCTTCCCGTTTTGGGTCTTGTTCAAAACCTCTCTCGGAAAAAACAAAAACAAAACAAAAACAAAACAAAAAACAAGCAAACACGAAGGTCTGCTGACGGCCTGGATGGAGCTCTGCAAGCCCTGAGCCTTGGCAGTCGGCTTGCCGACTCTGTGGGCCAGCTTTGTTTTGACTGATTTTGACTGAAAAAACGTGGCTTGGCGAGTCGGTACCTGGTTTGCTTGACCTGGGAAAAAGGTGGTCATTTACCTTTCACCCTGAAATGGGTGTTCCTTGAACATCAACTAGTTACCCTCAACACTCAAGCTACCCAGCAAAACAGGGGAAATCACCCCCAATAAAGTTTGGGCAACCCATTTTGGCGGCTTGTTTGAGGGTTCAGGTAGCCTTGAAGGCTGGACTGAAAAAGCTTTTTGCCAACTAATTTGGGTTTTCCAAATTAAACCACTAAAAGTTGACAACTTTTAGCAGGGCTTCGCAGAAAGCAACCGAGCTTTGGGACATTTTGGGGTAGGTGCACCCCCATTTTAGAACCTATTTTAGTGGTTGGATTGAATCGGATGTTCACTGGGGGCTAACCGACTGGATTTTGAAAAGCCCATAGCCACATGACCATCGAATCCCTGTCGGGGGTCGCCCCCAAAAAGACAAAGAACGACACACCCGCCCTGGCCACGGCCCACGGGAGATGGACCGATGTGTCACCCAGCTTTGCGGAGGTTCGGGATTTGTTTGAATCCCTTTAAGTAGTTCAGCAAGGGTCAAACAAATCAAACAAATCAAATCAGATTGAGGGTTCCTCAAACAAAGAAATCATTCCAAGCTGAAAAAGTTGGTTCTGACCAGCTGGTTCTGGTGTTTCTGACCTTGCATGCAGCTGAAAAGCAGCGCGAGCACAGTTGAAACGCAATCAAGAAGCAGGTGAGAATGCGATGCAAAGCTAATGCCATGCAACTGGGCACCTTTGTTCCGAAAAAAATGGGGGCAAGCAAGGCCACAAGACTGTTCACGGGATTCCTGGTTGGGAGCGTTCAATCAGAGGTGAGCATTTGGGAATGTCCACTTGTGACTGAATGGGTTGGTAGGATCAGTTGGATGAGTTGAAGTTGCGGTTTCACAAAGCTGTGTTTGCAGCGGCGCGGCAGGAAGAGATGCATTCCTATCCTAACTTAGGGGAGGGGTGACTAGTTTTTCTCAATGGAGGCTTGAGTGGACCAAGACTGTGGTAGATGGGGAAAATCCAAAGAGGTACGGCCCTTCTCTAGGTCCCCCAGTAGTGGAGGACCTAAGTAGTGCCCTTTTACCGTTTCTTTTTGGGGAGGATTCCCCTACTAAAATAAACTACAGAAAAAGGGTACCCTTATTCTAACCTCTCTACTGGAGGACCTAGTTTTGCATTTTAGTACCGAGTCGTTCGATTCCGGAGACATGATCCTGCCACCGAGTGCTTGATCAGGACAGAGCTGGATCTGGAGCAGTTCCCCGGGGAGGTCTTCGGGCTTCTTGTCTCAGTGCCCAGGTGCTTTTTGAGGGTTCCCTTGCTATCACCTAAGCCATGGCTTCACTCCGTAAAGGTCCTTTGAGTCACATGGCTGTGGGTTAAAACCCATGGAATCCCATTTTGGGGTTTTCGGTGCACCACCCATTTTAGTGGTTGGATTGGGGATGTTCACTGGGGGTACGATTTGTATTTTGACCCATGGCCACATGCATAACATGTATGGGTTCACCCCCCAAAAGTTGTGTAGATCTCCTTTTTGGAGCTATGCCCAGTAACCGGTCCCTTGGGACCGGTGGAAGGACAACCCTGACATCGCGGGCATGGATTCGCTGCGGGGCGCCTCGGGGACCGGAGCCATGTGTCAAACTGAGCCTCGGGAAGCCATTGGGAAACGGTGCAACTCGTTGATCATCTTGACCGGTGCAACTGGTGTTTTGCGGGAATGAGAAGCTTGACTGCTATTGGGCAACGGATCTTTAGACTCTAGCTTTGTGGTTGAAATAAAGGTGTTTTCAAAACTAAACCCCGAAAAAGTTAAACTTTTTGCAGGGGGGTCAACAGCAACCAAGAAGGGCCGAAAACCATTTCACACATGACTTCAGTTTGCCTTTCAAGTCCCATCCCCTATTCTAGTCATTTAGGCCCTTGTGTCAATAATGCCACGACGGCAGGCTGATCAGCAGGAGCTTGCGTCAGTTAGAGCTGAACGAGCAGCACACAAGTGGCAATCTAGGACGCTCTGCATAATTGTGTGCTTGAGCGTGCTGATGTCCTCAGTTACCACCATTCAAACAATGATTGAGAAAATGTACAACCACCATTTACCCTTCAGGGTCTTCATCATCAAATTGGGTCAACCATTTTTGGAATGGTTCCTCCAAATTGGCTCCTTTCTTGGGCCATTCTTTTACTTTGACATCGCTTGCAAGCCAACCCCCAAGCGTTTTATGGGCCGGATGCTGGGTTTTCCGGAGACGTGGAAATCTCTCGCTCGGAGGTTCCCCAGCTTGGACCGCTCTGGGCGCTGGAGCTTCGGGGTGCAGCGCCTGGAGCTCCGGGACTTCCGGCTGCGCTACGGCGCCTTCCCCACAGGCGATCCGATCCAATCGGAGCCGTCAATCCGATCGCTCCAATGCGCTCCGAGGGCAGGGGGGGGGTCGTTTTTTTTTTTTTGCCGGCTTTGGTGCCCCCTCCAATAGACACCCCGGAAATGTGTGGGGGTCTCAAGACCTGGCTGTTTAAGGGCGCTAAATACATCGGGAGCCTCTGGGTGAGAAAGTTGGCGACCCCCTCACGGAATGCTTCACTACCAGGGGGTCGATCACTTTTCCGCCAGAGGGGGCAAAAAGACCCCCCCCGGTCCGGTCGTGGGTCGAGTTCGCCAAGTTGGTAAGGCACGTCCTGAGTTGTGGGGCTCGGGCTTTGGTCACTTTTCGGGGGGGTTGGCTGCCATTTTGGTGGTAAAGAAGAAGTTGGTCACTTTGTTTGGGCCATCCAAATACTGAGAAGTAGTGAGGACACTAAGCGGTTCACTCAGTAGGTTATGCCCCACTCCGACCACTAACTTGGCCGAACATCCAAGTGGTGAGTGGAGGTCATTTCGTCACATTTCGTCCAATCCCGGCAACTCGATCCGATTTCGAGGGAGGCTGAACGGCTGTCAGGCGAAGGGGAGTAGCCTTGGGGTCGGTTTAAAGTGAACCACCAAGTATTCGCGGGAAGGACATTTTCAACCTGGGCTCGTCGAAGCTTCGCGGAAAGGCCTTTTTGGAGGGTTCTCAAGATGGGCTCGTCTTAGGAAACCGAGGGAAAAGCCTTTTAGGAGTCGGGTTTTATCACCAAGACACAGGAAAACCTAATGTGGGGTCCCCGGTGCCCACTTTCAGCGAATCCACGCCTTTTGAGAAAGGCCCAGTTGAAGGCTTCACGTCTCGGGGTGATAATGCAGGGAATCCCGCAGGTGAGCCACAATCAAAACCCGGCCGGTAGATGGAGGTTAGTAAGGGGCAGTCCCAGCCAGAAATAGTTGCGGCCGCCTTGACTCAGGTGCAGATGGCTGGGCTTTTAATACCGTTTGACTTCGGTCTATGGTCGGTTTGGGAGCGGCTGACGTCAGAAGGCTACCACAAAAGTTCGGCACTTCCCCATAGGGAAGCGGAGGTCCTTTGGGCAACTGAGGTATATTCGGTCACCAATTTATCATATTTGTGCGTGCGTTCGTGTGTGTGTGTGCCGTTTGGGGGCTCCCCCTATTTTTACACCCATACCCCCAGTAACCGGCAGGCTATGGGGAGACCTGGGGTGACCGCTGCTTCAAGTGCGACGCCACCTCGGGCACGCGGCTCTTCCGTAGCTCGCACTGGCGGCGCCTGGTGCAAAACCTGAGGCCGACGAAGTCGATGCGGGCGGTGGCGGGTCCTTTTTTTAGGTTCTTCCACTTGGTCAAGAGAATGTGTTATTCTCCCGGGGTGGTTGCAAGCGGAATCTATCACTACTGAAAATATATGTTTAGTTTGTGCAGGGGACTGAAGCAAATTTTAGGGGTTGTCCTTTTGGTTTCCCTTTAAAACCACAAAAGAGAAGTAATTATCATTAAACACACGCAGTTGTTTGTTTACGCATTCATTTGATGCTTGTTATTAGGGGAGGGGGTGCTCCTTTGTTTTTTTTCTTTGGAGCTGTTGTGCTTTCCTGTGTTTTGTTTGGGGGGGTCAAGGAAACGAACGTTATCTGAATCAGGGGCGCATATGACGGAATCAGGTGCCCTAATCAGGGGCGCGAATCAGGGCCACAGGGCGGTCGAATCAGGCGCAGGAGTTGGTCAAATCAGGGTCCGCTTCGGGTCAGTTTCAGGCAGGTGGCCCGCAGGTCGCCAAGCTTTGCCTAGCGATGTTTTTTTGCTGGCAAAATGGCGTTCAGCCCAAACAAATGCCCGTTAGCGCGGCTGTGTGCGCTGGGGCGGCCCGATGCTGGCGGAGCACACAGGTGGCACAAAGCTTTGCCCTGCAATACGTTTTGCTTGTGACGCGGCTTGCAGAGGCGAGCTTCGGTTGTGCGAGCTGGAGCGGCCCTGTGCTGGCCGGAGGCGTGCGAAAACCGCCTGCGGGGGCGAGATTTGTAACAACTTGCGCGCGGTTCATCGCGGTTGTGTGAGCTCGGGCCGCCCGGGCTGAAACAGTCACAGGATCCTGATTACGAAGAAAGACTTTACACAATAGAGTGCCCTCTCATTAAAGGAGGTGCAACGTTACCGAAAACTGCTCGTTCGCGCACACAGCGCGGGCCACGCAGCTTTGCCCTGCGCAGTCTTGCGAAACTGCTTTGTAGGGGCAAGCTTTGTACGACAAACTGCTCGTCAGCGCGGCTGTGCGAGCTGAGGCGGCCCGGGGCTGGCCGCAGCACGCAGGTGCCCGCGGGCCACACAGCTTTGCCCTGCGCTGCGCAGGTGGCCCGCGGGCCACGAAGCTTTGCCGCGCGCTGGCTGTTCCTTCTGAAACGGTTTGCAGGGGCGAGCTTCGTGCAAAAAACTGCCGGTTAGTGCGGTTGTGCGAGCTGAGGCACCGCGGGCCACGCAGCTTGTTCGAGCTGAGGCACAACTGCTTGTAGGCTGTGGAACGAGTTCGTGGGCGGCAGCGACCCACCAAATGTGGACGGGCTCGCCCGCCGTGCTGCAAAAAGTCAAGGCAGTCGATGATGACGGCCGCAAGTGAGGAGGTGGAATCCAGATTTGACGGGCGAGAATCGCACGACAAGTTGCTCGCCAGCGCGGCTGTGCGAGCTGAGGCGGCCCGGGGCTGGCCAAAGCACGCAGGTCGCCCGCGGGCCACGAAGCTTTGCCCTGCGCTGTCTTTCTCTTGCGACACGGCTTGCAGGGGCGAGCTTCGTGCAAAAAACTGTTCGTTAGTGCTTGTGCGAGCCGAGGCACCGTGGGCCGCGCAGCTTTGCCCTGCGCTGTCTTGCGAAGCTGCTTGTAGGGGCGAGCTTTGCACGACAAACTGCCCGTTAGCGCGGTTGTGCGAGCTGAGGCAGCCCGGGGCTGGCCGAAGCACACAGGTGGCCCGCGGGCCACGAAGCTTTGCCCTGCGCAGTCTTTTTTCTGGCGACACGGCTTGCAGGGGCGAGCTTCGTGCCAAAAACTGCCGGTTAGTGCGGTTGCAGGGCACGCAGCTTGTGCGAGCTGAGGCACATCCAAATGTGGAAGGGCTCTGCAAAAAGTCAAGGCAGTCGATGATGATGGCCGCAAGTGAGGAGGTGAATCCAGATTTGACGGGCAAGAGTCGCGCGACAAATTGCTCGCTAGCGCGGCTGTGCGAGCTGAGGCGGCCCGGGGCTGGCCGAAGCACGCAGGTGGCCCGCGGGCCACGAAGCTTTGCCCTGCGCTGTCTTTCTCTTTGCGACACGGCTTGCAGGGGCGAGCTTCATGCAAAAAACTGTCCGTTAGTGCTTGTGCGAGCTGAGGCACCGTGGGCCACGCAGCTTTGCCCTGCGCTGTCTTGCGAAGCTGCTTGTAGGGGCGAGCTTTGCGCGACAAACTGCCCGTCAGCGCGGTTGTGCGAGCTGAGGCGGCCCGGGGCTGGCCGAAGCACGCAGGTGGCCCGCGGGCCACGAAGCTTTGCCCTGCGCAGTCTTTTTCTGGCGACACGGCTTGCAGGGGCGAGCCTCGTGCCAAACACTGCCGGTTAGTGCGGTTGTGCGAGCTGAGGCACCGCGGGCCACGCAGCTTGTGCGAGCTGAGGCACAACTGCTTGTAGGCTGTGGAACGAGTTCGTGGGCGACCCACCAAATGTGGACGGGCTCGCCCGCCGTGCTGCAAAAAGTCAAGGCAGTCGATGATGACGGCCGCAAGTGAGGAGGTGGAATCCAGATTTGACGGGCGAGAATCGCACGACAAATTGCTCGCTAGCGCGGCTGTGCGAGCTGAGGCGGCCCGGGGCTGGCCGAAGCACGCAGGTGGCCCGCGGGCCACGAAGCTTTGCCCTGCGCTGTCTTTCTCTTGCGAGAGGCGTGCAGGGGCGAGCTTCGTGCAACCCTGCGCTGTCTTTCTCTTGCGACACGGCTTGCAGGGGCGAGCTTCGTGCAAAAAACTGTTCGTTAGTGCTTGTGCGAGCTGAGGCACCGTGGGCCACGCAGCTTTGCCCTGCGCTGTCTTGCGAAGCTGCTTGTAGGGGCGAGCTTTGCACGACAAACTGCCCGTTAGCGCGGTTGTGCGAGCTGAGGCGGCCCGGGGCTGGCCGAAGCATACAGGTGGCCCGCGGGCCACGCCCGCGAGTCTTTTTCTGGCGACACGGCTTGCAGGGGCGAGCTTCGTGCCAAAAACTGCCGGTTAGTGCGGTTGTGCGAGCTGAGGCACCGCGGGCCACGCAGCTTGTGCGAGCTGAGGCACAACTGCTTGTAGGCTGTGGAACGAGTTCGTGGGCGGCAGCGACCCACCAAATGTGGACGGGCTCGCCCGCCGTGCTGCAAAAAGTCAAGGCAGTCGATGATGACGGCCGCAAGTGAGGAGGTGGAATCCAATTGCTCGCTAGCGCGGCTGTGCGAGCTGAGGCGGCCCGGGGCTGGCCGAAGCACGCAGGTGGCCCGCGGGCCACGAAGCTTTGCCCTGCGCTGTCTTTCTCTTGCGACACGGCTTGCAGGGGCGAGCTTCGTGCAAAAAACTGTCCGTTAGTGCTTGTGCGAGCTGAGGCACCGTGGGCCACGCAGCTTTTATCTGCGCTGTCTTGCAAAGCTGCTTGTAGGGGCGAGCTTTGTACGACAAGCTGCCCGTTAGCGCGGCTGTGCGAGCTGGCGGTCCGGGCTGGCCGAAGCATACAGGTGGCCCGCGGGCCACGAAGCTTTGCCCTGCGCAGTCTTTTTCTGGCGACACGGCTTGCAGGGGCGAGCTTCGTGCCAAAAACTGCTAGTGCGGTTGTGCGAGCTGAGGCACCGCAGGCCACGCAGCTTGTGCGAGCTGAGGCACAACTGCTTGTAGGCTGTGGAACGAGCTCGTGGGCGGCAGCGACCCACCAAATGTGGACGGGCTCGCCCGCCGTGATGCAAAAAGTCAAGGCAGTCGATGATGACGGCCGCAAGTGAGGAGGTGGAATCCAGGTTTGACGGGCGAGAATCGCACGACAAATTGCTCGCTAGCGCGGCTGTGCGAGCTGAGGCGCCCCGGGGGTGGACGAGGGGCGAAGGTGGCCCGCGGGCCACGACGCTTTGCCCTGCGCTGTCTTTCTCTTGCGACACGGCTGCAGGGGCGAGCTTCGTGCAAAAAAAACTGTCCGTTAGTGCTTGTGCGAGCTGAGGCACCGTGGGCCACGCAGCTTTGCCCTGCGCTGTCTTGCGAAGCTGCTTGTAGGGGCGAGCTTTGCACGACAAACTGCCCGTTAGCGCGGTTGTGCGAGCTGAGGCGGCCCGGGGCTGGCCGAAGCATACAAGTGGCCCGCGGGCCACGAAGCTTTGCCCTGCGCAGTCTTTTTCTGGCGACATGGCTTGCAGGGGCGAGCTTTGTGCCAAAAACTGCCGGTTAGTGCGGTTGTGCGAGCTGAGGCACCGCGGGCCACGCAGCTTGTGCGAGCTGGGGCACAACTGCTTGTAGGCTGTGGAACGAGTTCATGGGCGGCAGCGACCCACCACATGTGGACGGGCTCGCCCGCCGTGCTGCAAAAAGGCAAGGCAGTCGATGATGACGGCCGCAAGTGAGGAGGTGGAATCCAGATTTGACGGGCGAGAATCGCACGACAAATTGCTCGCTAGCGCGGCTGTGCGAGCTGAGGCGGCCCGGGGCTGGCTGAAGCACCAGGTGGCCCGCGGGCCACGAACCTTTGCCCTGCGCTGTCTTTCTCTTGCGACACGGCTTGCAGGGGCAAGCTTCGTGCAAAAAAATGTTCGTTAGTGCTTGTGCGAGCTGAGGCACCGTGGGCCACGCAGCTTTGCCCTGCGCTGTCTTGCGAAGCTGCTTGTAGGGGCGAGCTTTGCACGACAAACTGCCCGTTAGCGTGGTTGTGCAAGCTGAGGCGGCCCGGGGCTGGCCGAAGCATACAGGTGGCCCGCGGGCCACGACGCTTTGCCCTGCGCAGACTTTTTCTGGCGACACGGCTTGCAGGTGCGAGCTTCGTGCCAAAAACTGCCGGTTAGTGCGGTTGTGCGAGCTGAGGCACCGCGGGCCACGCAGCTTGTGCGAGCTGAGGCACAACTGCTTGTAGGCTGTGGAACAAGTTCGTGGGCGGCAGCGACCCACCAAATGCGGACGGCGAGCGCCCCGCTCGCCCGCCGTGCTGCAAAAAGGCAAGGCAGTCGATGATGACGGCCGCAAGTGAGGAGTTGGAATCTAGATTAGCGAGCTGAGGCGGCCCGGGGCTGGCCGAAGCACGCCACGAAGCTTTGCCCTGCGCTGTCTTTCTCTTGCGACACGGCTTGCAGGGGCAAGCTTCGTGCAAAAAACTGTCCGTTAGTGCTTGTGCGAGCTGAGGCACCGTGGGCCACGCAGCTTTGCCCTGCGCTGTCTTGCGAAGCTGCTTGTATAGGGGAGAGCTTTGCACGACAAAGTGCCCGTTAGCGCGGTTGTGCGAGCTGAGGCGGCCCGGGGACAGGTGGCCCGCGGGCCACGAAGCTTTGCCCTGCACAGTCTTTTTCTGGCGACACGGCTTGCTGGGGCGAGCTTCGTGCCAAAAAATCAGCCGGCTCGCTCCGCCGTGCTGCACAAAAGTCAAGGCCAGTCGATGATGAACGGCCGCAAGTGAGGTAGGTGGGAAT